CCTGCATGTGAACCTCTAAACTGAAACTGACTCTAAACAAAGGGAACTTCCCTCCTTCCTTTTGAAACATCTTATCCCCCCATTGGTTCCTCTGGTCAGGTGTCAGCTAGGCTAGGTGAACTTTTTAACCCTTTACAGGTAAAAGAGGCATTAACCCTTAACTATCTGTTTATGACAGGGTCTTAGTCAGGAGCTTTCACACCTTGGATCTTGTTTTGTTTTTATATATTTTTTTTTAAAAAGTCTAGATTAAAGGAATACCAGTGCTACAAGAAGCAGTTTGCTTATGCATGTGAGTACTCTGTTGAACTCAAGACTATTTGCAGGAATGGAGCTTAATTCATTTGATTGTGCAAATTTGACATGCATGATGACACAAAATACAACATTCAAGAATTTTAGTAACTTTGCATAGGAGAAAGAAGTGCCCCAAAAAATCTCATACTGCGGCACCTCTCATGGATTTCTGCCATGTGTCAAATTACCTGTAACATAGGGCTCTTTAGATGGACTCCGTAATGATTAACAAACTGAACCATCTGTGTCCTACCTCACCTACTTCTTTCTGACAGTTTCCACACTTCTCTTCTACTACACTATCACTCAAAAGAAGTCAGCACTCTGTTGCCTGGTGAGTTACCTTGATAGTTCCCAATTGGCCTCTTTGGGTATGTCTACACAGCACTGCAATTAAAAACCCACAGCTGGCCTGTGCCAGCTGACTTGGTTTAATGGGGCTCGGACTCAGGAGCTGTTTAACTGCAGTATAGCTGTTCTGGCTCAGGCTGCAGCCTGAACTCTAGGACCCTCCCACCGCAAAGAATCCCAGAGCCCTGCATTAAACTGGTCTTTATTCTTGGCCAGAACTTTGCACTTGCACCAAGGAGGAATATTGCCCTTTGAAATTGAGTTACCTTATTTAATGATCTGAGTGCTGTTAGCTTTCACTTGGAAGGTGTTCCTGTTGTGATTGAGAAGAATGTACTGGGTTTTCCTGTGCAACTGACCTACTGTAGGCACAAAATATTACAGCTTGACCCATGATGCCAGAAGTATTTTACTAGAAACAAATCAGTAAGCATACCAATTCTTTTGCTTGGTAATGTCATGAATGCACTCTAAGTCAACCCAAGGTGAGGAATGGACTTCTGATTCCATGTTATCAGTTGTAGGAAATCTGAGTGTGCTGATTTGTGTGTTGGTTAAAATGGGGGTGGGGAGTTGCTATCTCACTCTATTTATGGCATTTAGATTCCTGATGTCATTCTTGTGACTTTGCCCAACTTACGTCTAGTTTAGTTCTTGTAACATTACAATGAAATAGGAAGCAGTGAAGTCACATTTTAGATATTCCTGAACACAGGAAATCAATGACCAGCTTATTCTTATTACAGTCAAAGAAGGAAAAGAGACAGTCCAGACCATCTAACTGTTAAACAATAATGGAACTTGTGGTGTGAGCAGTACACACTGCACATATGCAAAGTAGGGCTGTCAATTAATCACAGTTAACTTACGCGATTAACTAAAAATAATTAATTACGGTTAAAAAAATTAATTGCAGTTAATCACACTTTTAATCATACTGTTAAACAATAGAATACCAATAGAAATGTATTAAATATATTTGGATGTTTTTCTACATTTTCAAATATATTGATTTCAATTACAACACAGAATACAAAGTGTACAGTGCTCACTTTATATTACTTCTTGTTCAGCCAGTTGCTCAGAAAAACAAGTTCGTTTACATTTACGGGAGATAATGCTGCCCACTTATTATTTACAATGTCACTTGAAAGTAAGAACAGGCGTTTGCATGTCACTTTTGTAGCCAGCATTGCAAGGTATTTACGTGCCAGATATGCTAAACGTTTGTATACCCCTTCATGCTTCAGCCGCCATTCCAGAGGACATGCTTCCATGCTGATGATGCTCGTTGAAAAAAAGTGCTAACTAAATTTGTGACTGAACTCCTTGGGGGGAGAATTGCATGTCTCCTGCTCTGTTTTATCTGCATTCTGCCATATATTTCATGTTATAGTAGTCTTGGATGATGACCCAGCACATGTTGTTCAATTTAAGAACACTTTCACTGTAGATTTGACAAAACACAAAGAAGGTATCAGTGTGAGATTTCTAAAGATAGCTACAGCACTTGACCCAAGGTTTAAGAATCTTAAGTGCCTTCCAAAATCTGAGAGGGATGAGGTGTGGAGCATGCTTTCAGACGAGTTAAAAGAGCAACACTCTGATGCGGAAACTTCAGAATCCGAACCACCAAAAAAGAAAATCAACCTTCTGCTGGTGGCATCTGACAGATAATGAAAATGAATGTGCGTTGGTCCGCACTGCTTTGGATCATTATTGAGCAGAACCCGTCATCGGCATGGACGCATATCCTCTGGAATGGTGGTTGAAGCATGAAGAGACATATGAATGGTTAGTGCATCTGGCACGTAAATATCTTGTGATATCTGCTACAACAGTGCCATGTGAACGCCTGTTCTTACTTTCAGGTGACATTGTGAACAAGAAGCAGGCAGCATTATCTCCTGCAAATGTAAACAAATTTGTTTGAGCGATTGCCTGAACAAGAAGTAAGATTGAGTGGACATGTAGGCCCTAAAGTTTTACATTGTTTTATTTTTGAGTGCAGTTATTTTTTGTACATAATTCTACATTTGTAAGTTAAACTTTCATGATAAAGATATTGCACTACAGTACTTGTATTAGGTGAATTAAAAATACTATTTCTTTTGTTTTATAGTGCAAATATTTGTAATCAAAAATAATATAATGTCAGTGTATGGTACAGTAAAATAAAAACAAAACAAAAACCATGTGCACATTTAGGCTGAGTTAGAATTAACACTGTATTTCTCTATCAACAATGTTTGCAAAATACTTAGTGGAGATTAAGACCAAAGAGAGAAACTTAACAGTCTTTATTTAAATATAGTACTAAAAAAACTTCGTTTTTATAGCCCCTTCCATGCAAGAATTTCAAAACACTTTATACACAACACACCTTGTGATATATTAAATATTATTATTTCTATTGCAGAGACAGGAAAACTGAAACAGATTGGTAAGGTAAATTGCCTATAGTAACACAAGATAGTTGGTGACAGAACTAGGCAAAGAACCCTGAACTCTCATCTACCGCTCCTATGTTCTGGCCATTACATCAAAGTCCCTCTCTGTTTTAATTCCCAAGTCTTAAAAGCTAATTTTCATTTCCTTTTCTAACTCCATAAGCAACGTAAATTAGTTCAGGACAATAGCTTGACTTATGTTTTCCAGGATGTAGCAGGCAGGCATTGCAGCATTTATAATCAAGATGTTAGTTTTGGTAACATTGTCACCTTCTTGGCTCAGGAAATTTTGTGGAACATGAAATACTGCTGTAAAAAGAAATACTCTATTAAAAACACTTTCTTGCAGTCTTTTAAAGAAATAACACTTTTATGATTTAATTCAACAAGAATTGTTATATGTAGTGAAAGCCTTTACATGGCATATTATAAATATTTCTTATGCTTACTAAGTGATCACAAGGACTGTAATAGCCAAATCCCTACTGCTGCATTAAAAGCTCTTATAGAATGAATCTAATTCACTACAAATACTCTGTAATAAGCTTTGGCTGTTAGGGAATCATGCTAGGGGCTTATATATGGCTAAATTTATAAAGTTAAAACAGTATTTTGCCTCTTAATATGCAGTCTTTTAAAGCACACACCTTTTTTCCTGCTCCCACACCCATGAAGTTACTTCTGATGTCCTCCCCTTAGGCTGTGGGGCAGGTGAAGGCAAATGGGAGAATGCAGGAAATTAATGATGATAGTAATAAGTAACATAAAAACCCCACACATGCACACACAAATCATGAACCCAAGGCCATTGGGAGTGGGAGAATCTACTCTTCTCCCTCATATATAGTTCCTGTACCTGACTGCTATTGCTTGTAACTTTCCCTGCATAATGGAATTCTTGGGCAGTTTCACTGTTGTCCAGAGATCTGAGTAAATATGACTCCAGAATCTTGTTAATTTTATTCTGCTGCTGTTTGAGAGGAAAAAAGATTTGAGCAGCAATGAAAGTGTTTGTCTACAAACTCAGGAAGATGGCACTGCATCAGATCACATTTGGAAGACTGTCACGCTGTAGTTGATGTTCTGCAGAAATTGATGGGTTAGTGCCCCCTGCCAAAGGAAATCTTCTCACCACTGGCAAGAGGATTTTACAAAACTTGCTGACCTATCATTTCTTTTTTAAATTTAATTTTTCAGTTATTTAGAAGTTGTATGTAGCTTCTTACCACTGCATTGAAAAATATAATCCTTTTGAATTTGTGCATATGAAGTTACTGAACTTCCCCTGGATGTCTGATGAGCAGAAGAAGCAATTAGAGGGGTATGAGTAAATGTTTCAGTCTACTGAGCTCTTTTCTGACTGTATTTGTTTAAGCAAAAGCAAAATATATGAATGAGTGGTTGATTTCCCCCCCCCCCCATTTTATTAGTTCAAAATTTTTAAATAGTAATTGGACCAATTGCCTGGGTATTTTGGGGGTGGGTAGGATGGCGGGTGTGTGTGTATGTGTTAAGTGACCTTTTTTCCAGAACAAAGTTACTATAATTTTAGAATATCTTCTTTTTCTGTTTTCTTTCCTAGGGGCTCTGCTGTTGCCAAAATAATAGGCAATAATGTAAAAAATATGCAAAAGTTTGCTTCCACAGTGAAAATGTGGGTCTTTGAGGAAAATATTAATGGGAGAAAACTGACAGATATCATAAATAATGAACATGAAAATGTAAAATATCTCCCTGGTTACAAGCTGCCAGAAAATGTGGTAAGACTTGGAAGCTAAACTTGGTGTGTGTGTGTGTGTATATATAAATTGCTTATAGTCAGAAGTGAGATAGAGTTTGACAAAAAGCAAAAAAGTGAATGAAACACTCCTAACTATTTTGTTAAGGGTTCCGAACAGCTGAGCTCTCTAAGGTAGTTGATAGCTAACATAATCTTGTAATAGATTTTCCCCTTCAATGACTTTATGGCACCATATGCTATATTGTGTATATATGCAAACATGTGAAAATAATAGAAAGATTGATGCCTTTGCCCATAACTACCATAAAGATTTGCCCTCAATTTTGGAAAGGAACTGACTGACAAGTTTGGAAGAAAGGTGGGATTTCAGACCCTCTGGAAGTTCACTACTGAAAGCTGCATTGAATTATGTAAAGGCTGTTCACTTTTGTAGTCATTTATGCCAGTGTAAAGTGCTGCCAAACCTGAATGGTGACATTTTTCACGCAGTTCGCACTGGTGTAAATGACAACATATTGTGGTGGGCAATCATGAATCTGGCCAAGAAAGAGCTAGAAGTAGGAGGAGAGAGCAGCAACTGACAATTTAATAGGAAAACCTATGGGTTAAAAACTGCCTATAGCTAGATTATGGTTCTATTGGTGCCATTGAAACCTAAATGCTGCACCAGTCTCCTAATGTGAAGTAAATCATAGACTAATAGAACTGGAAGAGACCTCGAGAGGTCTAGTCCAGTCCCCTGCACTCATGGCAGGACTAAGTATTATCTAGACGATCCCTGACAGATGTTTGTCTAACCTGCTCTTAAAAATCTCCAGTGATGGAGATTCCACAATCTCCCTAGGCAATTTATTATTTCCCTTTTGTCATAGACTAGGGAAACTTTGGTGTTACCCAGGTTGTTCATGTTCATTACCTCCATTAATAGTGATTGCAGAGGCCACTGTACAGCCCCAGAACTCATTTTTGGTGCCTCTGTTATTTCAAGTGTGGTTAAACATGAGGACTACTTTAAAGTCCTCATCACTTGTTGGAAAAGGGTGAAGTCTGGCAGGTGGCTTGGAAGCTGGTCACCTTAAAAAGAAAAACAAAACCTTTTAAGAATCAAGAATAGAACATCAGGAAACAGATGTAAGAGAGACTGGTGAAGGTTTTTTGTTTTTGTTTTTTTTTAAACAGGACATGTCTATATTACAAGCACTACAGTGGCACAGATGCTGTGGCATTGTAATGTAGGCACTTGCTACAGTGAGAGGGAAGGGTTTTTTCCATCACTATAGTAAATACACCTCCTCGAGAGGTGGTAGCTAGGTCTACAGTGTGCTTAGGTTGACTTAACTACGTCTCTGAGGAGTGTGAATTTTTCACAGCCCCAAGCAATATAGCTAGGTCGACCTAAGTTTTAGGTGTAGACCAGGCCTCATTTTTCTGAGTGCAGTATGTATTAGAAATGTAAACTGTTTTGCCAAACCAGCAGCTAAGCAAGAGACATTCAAAAACGGCCTCTAATTTTGCATTTCAATCAATTAGGTTGTGAATATTAGTTAGATGTCTGAACTCTGATTTCTAGGTGCGAACATCATTTGCTCCTGCAAATTTGGTAGTTAGCTGTCTAAATTCTGTCATTTGCAGGTACAATTGATTGTGTCCACAATATTAGAAGGCAGGGAAAGGCCCCTTTCAAAATTTGGCCCAATATGTCTTGGGTTGGGTTGGCTTGAAAGCATTTGATGCTCTCGCATGTGTAGGAATGTAATGTGCATGGGTTTTTTTTCTCTTATTGATATAACATGATAGAAATGATCATTCTCAGAAAGCTCGTCTAGATTATTTTTAGAGAACTTTTGAATAGAATTAATTTTTTAAAAATTCTTTTGTTTCACAACCCCCTTTGTCTCCCATAATTGTACAGATTGCCATTCCAAATCTTAACGAAGCTGTGCAAGATGCAGACTTGTTGGTCTTTGTCATTCCTCACCAGTTTATTCATAAGATCTGCGATGAGATCACAGGACGGGTACCAAAGAAAGCTGTTGGGATAACACTCATCAAGGTATAATAAATGCTATATGTTAACATTGTCAATATATAATGGAATCTTCTGAAACCATTCAACTAAGAGTTTGAGATGAAAAATCTTTCCCTGTCCCAGCCAAATTGTTATTTTTTCTTGATTGTTCAGTAGGACTTCTTTGGATGTACAATCAGAATTTGAGTCCTAGTCACTAATGAATTGTTATGCAGTGTTTTTTATTTTATTCTGTCATTTTCAGTAACAGGGAGGTGAGACTGCTTGCAAGACTAACTTAAAAAAATATTTTGCACCACCAGGCTTTTCAGCCTATTACTTTCTCATTCTGGACACATCACTAGATGGAGAGCAGAGCACAACTATAATAGTCTGGTTGTTAATTCACATCCCAAACACTGAGCTGATCATTTTAAAAATTGACGAGAGACTCTCATGTGACTGAGTGGACAGTGCTCTCGTTCACATCAAAGATTTTGCTGCAACAAGAGAAACTGTTCAGAGCCATCCAAAAAGATAAACTAGTCCCAGTATGGGAACTTGTTGGGAACAGCATTTTAAAGGGGCTTTCATAGAGCTGGAGGCAAGGGAGTTTCTGTTTTAAATGACATTTTGTTTCTGAATATTAAGCTATGGTAGATCTGGTTATTCCCACAAGCTTCTAGAAGACATTACTTTGTTCTTGCCCTTCATTTGGTTGAGGGTGGGGGTTCTTTATTTTCTCGGCACAAGTTCCCCTGTCTGTACTCGTTCCTGGCACAGGTTCACCCTCCAGATCTTTCATTTTTATTTTTTAAATAAATTTGTCTCTCTTTAGTTTAGCTGAAACCATTGAATCTTGTTTTTGTCAGTGCTGCCCTATCGAAGGGATTTAGTCTTGAAATCTTGAATTTTATTAAAAGGTAACACTGCTCTAGTTCAGGTGTTGTACTTTACAGATCAGTTTTTGATTATACATTCATTGAATTGAAGGATGAAAGAAACAGGGCACATGATTCTGGCATAGTGTTGAAAGCAATAAATATATAGCGACGAAAACTTCCATGTCAGCTATCTGAGATGAAAATAAAATCCCAGACTGAACATTTTGAAGGCACCAAGTAGCCTACACCAACAGAATTGAGGACATGTTCCTTCACTCTTTTTCTTAAACTCTTGAGAGAAATGTAATTGATTCTTCCCTAACTCATTCTGGCCTATATGTTTACCATGATGTCATTTATGTCAATGTGAAACCAGAATAACTCTAAATGTCAGTCTGGTTACTGTGGCTTTTACCCAGATCAGATTTGGATCAGAAACTGGGTCTTTATTTCTTTAAAAATACAGTTTAAATTCTTGATGGTTATTGACTATATTTATGTAAAGAATAAATATTTAATGCACTGGTAAAATTATGCAAAGGAAAAAGTATTTATTTATGCAAGGGAAAACACTTTCTATTTTTTTCCATAAACATTAGTATATTCTTAATCTGAATATTTAATATAATGTTGGATGACATCTCTTACACAAGCCAGAACTGGTTACCAGACAACTTCCCATTGTTAAGCTGCTTCTGTGGTCCAGTAGGTGCTCTCTTTAAAGAAATGGTGCAAAGGTTTTTTGTTTTTATTCAGTTGCAACTGTGTGCAAACTACCTATTTCCACTTTCTGTCAATGGGACAAAAATCTGTACAAAGAGGCAGAGATCTGATCTCACTAACAAAAGAGCATGTGAGAATGGAATCATCTCACCATTCATAAGTAACGGAGGATTTTTTTATTTCTAAGCACGTGCACGTGCGTGCATGTATACACACACTTGCTCTATTTATATCGCTATGCAAGTACATTTAGCGTGGCCATGGGTAACAAATGCTGTAGTTAGTGTAGTTCTGCTCTGAAAGAGGGCTATGTAAAATGGCATTGGTGGGCTCCTTTCTCTGTCTGATTTCTATATGCAGTATATTCTCTTTACAAATAAAAGGTGTATGTTTAACTTCCAGACCTGCAAATTCAACCTAATATGTGACAATAAAACTGGGTCTTTGGTGAATGCCGGATGAGGCCCTGAATGATGCATCTGTAATCATGTTGCCTTAAATTGATTATGACAGGGTAAATGACTGGAACTCAGTAAATGTTTGTGTTGAATAATAAGAGGAAATGGAATCCAACTTGCTTTTTTAGCATTGCAGTACAAGAAGAGCACAGGAGTGAAAAGCAATTTGAAAGCTTCTCTGGCCAGCCTTTGGGTTGTTCTAATTTACACCTAGTTGCCTCTGGTGACCATTGCAGCATCTAGATCTATTGCCCTGGCCTATGTTGGGAGCCATTACATTGGCTCTACACCACATGGGGAATACCCCTACACTGTGAAAGTTATCAGGTCAGATCCACCTGGTTCTTTTAAGATCAACTTCAGCCCTCGTAGAAGCAGGTGCAGCTCCCTTTGACTTCAGCAGAAGTCCACGGCAGGTCTGGATTTAGTATCCAGTCACGTGTGATCTCTCTCAATGCAGGTTATTCATTCAAGTGCGCAAATTCATATCTAGGTAGTTGTTCCAAATGCCTTTTAAAGAGACTGAATGGCAGCTGTTGGTTAATTGCCTGTTCGGGGACCTAATAAATAGACTGTCAAGACATCTTTGGAGCTGTTAAAAAACAACACATACATGAGCATTCTTTCAGATTCTCATCACTGTACAATATGGTCCACAAAGATGTTAAGTGAGAGCGTGAGAGTGAAAAAAGTAATGCAACAGTATAGTAATTGACTTACGTTTTAATTGGCTGGTTTCATACATGTGTGTCTCACAATGTCTCTTAGTTGTGCAGTGTTTTTAAAAATAAACTATTTTTTGAGCCTTAGGAATGCAAAACTCTGCCAGCCAGGAATGTCTTCTGTGGCTTATATAAAGTTTAATGGATTTCAGCAATGCCTTTTTATGCTTAAAAAAAAAAAAAAAAAGGCCATGGTGTAGTTCAAAGTGATGCTCTTCTGTGCGCTAAGTATGAGAAACTGTTTAAAAATAAAGCTTTACAAAGAAAATGTTTCTATAACCTCCTAAATATTTATTCTTTTGGGAAGGAGGTGGACAGTTTTGAGCCTTGTGCTTCTATAGAGGGGAAAAGCACAGTTACTTCAACACATTTTGGTTCCATGGGAGAAATAGCTTTGGACGAAGGAGGTACTGCAGTTCCCTGAAAAAGGCACAAGCAGTCAGGAGTTCTGGATTCTATTCTCCACTCTGGCACTGATCTACTCCAGGCACTTCAGTCTCTCTCTGCCCCGTTTCTCTATCTCTGGAGAACAGGGATAATGATATTTCAGTAAAGCACTTTGAAATCGATAGATGAAAAATGCTACGTAAGAGTAAAAGTATTATTCATCAGCTTCTTCCATATCTACAAATGGGCTTTTCACTTTGTAGTAGTGTTCAAGATGACTAGAACTCTGATTGACTAGTAAGCCATTGCTGTCATTAAACACGAAGTGATTTCTCTATGATATTTCAGTTTGAGTGTTTTCCCCCACAAAATATTACATAAAAATATTAAAATCCAATCCTATGAGTTTCTGGGCCTCGTTGTTTTCTACTGAGGTCAGTGGGCCAGCTCCTGAAGAGGTGGAAATCAGTGTTGCTCCATTGACTTCAGTAGGGGGACATTCATTTACATCAGCTGAGGATCTGTTCCCAGGGGAGATGAACTTGCAGCACCTTACAGGATTGTGCCCTTTATTTAGCACAAAATAAACCCTGTTGTCATCATCTAGATGTTGGTAGCTAATTCCTAATTTTTAAGTGCAATTTTGTATAAAAGGTCACAGTAGAGGCAAGGCTGTATAGCCAGATGTGTCTGTGTGGCTTATCTCAGTGGTAGCAAGTCCACTATCTTCTGTCACTAACTGGATAAACTTTATTGTAGCTTCCACCCAGGAAGGCTAATTGTGACACAATCTATTCTGTCTAATGCCTGTTCAGTAATTCACTTTAATGTTGGCTGCAGGGAATAGACGAAGGCCCAGAGGGACTCAAACTGATTTCTGACATTATTCGAGAGAAAATGGGAATAGACATCAGTGTGCTGATGGGCGCTAACATTGCCAATGAGGTAGCAGCAGAGAAGTTCTGTGAAACCACAATAGGTAACATTCTGTGTAATTAAAATGTTTAAAATATCGATGTCTATGCTCAAAACTCCACATTGAATAATTTGAACATCACCGTTGCCAGCTTTAATCAATCATTATCAGAAGCTGCTAAGTCTTTCATATTTAATTTCTGAACTTCCTATAATTTTTGCACTTCCAAATGTAGCAGTAAGGCATTGGGAGGAGAGATTATGAAATCTCATTAGGATTGTGTCTTCAGAGCCAACCCTTATTTCTTTTACAATGAAATAATTACCAACCCACAAAGTAACAATTATACTGTTTAATACTGATAAAGTAACCATGCCACTGCTGTGCAGAACATTTTACTACATAGGTTGCTACATAGTCTAATATCAAGTGATTAGATGTTTTTTAATACAGGTGTTGCAGCTTGTGAAACTCTCTCTCTTTCCATATTTATAACTTTTTAAGGGTGCTACTGTTTCCTTTGTAGGTTTTCATCGTAACTAATTCTTCCAAACCGCGGGTGTTGGCCTCGATCCTGCAATTGGAACTACTAGCACAGATTTCTCTGCACCCATCTAAGGCTGGAGAGATTTCACAAAGTCTCACATGTGCATTCAAATATATACAGCTGTGTGCAATCTGAGGGAGTTAATGTTGTTAGACCATAAATTTTTTTTTTTTACTTTTGTGTAGTTAGCTTTGTGAGCTTAGTGTCACGTTAACATCTCTTGCATATAATTATTTTAGATGGTTGATTTAATTTAAAATGTTGACAGACACTTCTTTTTCAGGGCAACGTTAGCTTGCTGTGTTAATAAGGTATCTGTGACTTGTTTTACCAGTAGGTATGAACATGTGCTTAAAGTACATCATAGAATTGCAGCTGCTGAGAAGATAACTTGGACAGATTTTTTTTAAAACCAATTTTAATTATTTAAATAATAAGAAAACAAGGGAAATGGATTTAAACAAAAAGGATGTGGTGGTGAAGTTATATGATCGTTCTTCTGTCTATTCTGAGCTCTTAGACTACTGGTAAATGTCTCCATGTTAAGAACTATCTTGGTTGGAGGGAGGGGAAGTGGGGAAAAACAATCTAACTCCTGCTTTGAAGTATTATGCCTTGCAATAAAAAGACAGCATAATAAATGAATACATTATTCATTGCTTGCTTTCTCCCCCCCCTCCCCAACAGGCAGTAAAATCCTGGAGAACGGCCTTCTTTTCAAAGAACTCCTGCAGACGCCAAACTTCCGAATAACTGTAGTAGACGATGCAGATACTGTTGAGCTTTGTGGCGCTCTTAAGGTACGGTTAGCTGTGCTGAATTTTTATGACTGGGGAAGGGAGATGATGGGGGTGGGGAGAGAAGGGGAGAGTATTTACCCCTAAAAGGTTGTCTATCTGTGTGTTTCTCTCTCTAAAATATAAAAAATACATGCTTTAAAACTAAAATAATTGAACATACAGCTCTGCAAATATTAGACATAAAACTGGAGAAAGGCATGTGGTTAGTGCATGGAGCTCTGCATCAAGATATCCTGAGTTCTGTTCCTACCTCTGCCACTTACTTGCTCTGTGGCTTCATGCAAGTTATGTTGCATCCAGGGCTGGCACTTCCACTAGGCGACCCTAGGCAGTCGACTAGGGTGGCAGGATTTGGGGGGTGGCATTTTGCCGTCCTCAGCGGCAATTCGGCGGAGCGGAAGGACCCCTGCCGCCAAATGCTCTGAGGAGGAGCGCTGCCGCCTACGGCGGCAAAAACCGAGGCACCACTCTTGGTTGCATCTACACTCCTGAAACACTTTTAAAATCCATTCCAGCCTCTGGGCAAGGTCTGTGTGTACAGCAGCCCCTATGCAAGGGGAGAGGAATGTGAAGCTGAAGTTAACCTTTTTTGCACTGGAAACCACATAGTTCCCTTGCTCCCTATCTCATTTGTTTTTAGAAGCTGCTTCTACTGGCACCGTTATACCGACTGTATAGGTGGGACACAACTCTGCTAAAACAGTTTTTTAAAGACTTATCCCAGACCAGGTGTTTTAGCAAGTTATGTCCCATCTATACAGTTGGCTCAACTGTGCCAGCTGGAATGGCTTTGAAAAACAAAGAGGCAGAGAGCAGTCTAGTCAGACACTGCCTGGTTAGGTGTTAACTCCAGATTTACATTCCTCTTCCCTTAAGTAGGTACTGCAGTGAAGCGGTATAAGGGCTCCTGGAGAGAAGAGAGAGAATGGCAAGGCCCTGTGCCCAGATACCAAAGTCTGGATGAACCCTAGACTGGGAATTTCCTTTTTATTCCTGTTTTTGCTTATGGTACCTAATTCTGGCTTATTCTGATAAAGCCTTGCGCTTGCTGAGAAATCCTGCGAATTGTTATTTTCATCCTATCAGGTTAGAGGTAGTTTCAGAAGCATGGATGGGGCCTTAGTCTCCCTTGCCCAGTTTCACCACAGGAATAAGCTGGTAGGTTGCCATTGACTTCGCTAGAACTTCATCTACGTAACACCAATGGTGAATTTGGCCCTCTGAGCCATAGTTTCTCTATCTGCAAATGAGAATAGCAATAAATACATTTTTGGGAGATGGGTAGTAAGTAGTAAAGGGACTCCATGAACATGAAATCACAACAGTTTTAAAAAATGAGTTAAGAGTAACTTCAGGAACTGGACTTGAGTCTGCATTATGCTGCCATTTTCATACTCTTTAAAATGCTTTTTCTCTCCCCGTTGCTATGTGATGAAAGACCCATGCAAACAATAAGGAAAACAAGTAAACTGACTAAGCACAAAGTGCTGTCAAATGCGCACAGAATAAACCTAAAAATGGAGAATGTCTTCTAATTCCTTCCAGCTGTAGTAATTTGAGATGATGGTTGCAACTGTAGTAGGTATAAATATTTTTCGGACAAGAAGTGGGATTTTTTTTTTTCATTACCCATGTGTCCTTCTCAAATAGTGAATGTTGGTGCAGCACTTTGAAGATGTAAAGCACTATATTGTTGTATACAAATCTTGTGCATGTATTCTCCAAACTTGTATTGGATAAGGTTTGTGCAGAATTGCTGAACAGTAAAACAAATATTTTTCTGTTCTTTCAAAGAACTACAAAGCTGTTTTTTCTTTTGTTTCTGTAACTGAATTGTACCGATAGGAAGTGAAGTGTAGCTTAAAATGATTCCTATTGATTTTTTTTTCTTTTCGGGTTAATTTACAGGAAATTGTTATATATATGTTGTTAATGGCTTGGGCCCCTGGCCAGTTATACAATAGTTCGTGTTCTCTAATGTTTGTGACGGGAAGCAATTTCACTGAACACAGTCGTGTACTAGTAAAGCTACATTTATGATACTTCAGAAAATCACTGAAAAGAAAAATAAGACTCCCAAATATAATAAAGTAATATGTAGTGCTAGTCAGTATAAACACTGTAACGATTAGTAAACGTTACATGAAATACTCTATTTTACTTGAGGGGCTCTTTGGTTCCTGGTTCTGTTAGTCAGGTTGAGGTTGTTGTGGGGGAAATCATGGAATCTTAAACTACATTCAGGTAATTTGTAGGAGATGAGGAGCCTGGCTTTCAAATAGCTTTTGCTGTGAATCTGGCATAATTTCAAGCAGGATTTAAATATGTAACTGGCAGGATGCCTGTAATGGACTGGTGAGCTAGGTTCTGATCTCCGTTATGTTAGCGTAATCTGGAGTTATTCCACTGGCTTTGCTGCAGTGACTCTGAATTTATACTGATGTTACTGAGATCAGAATCTGGCCTAGTTTATCCGTGGCTTTAAGATGTTCTAGTGGTGATATGCAGAGTCACCAGGAAAACACCCCTGCACACAATCCTGTTAGAGTTGCTCAGAAAAAAATTACAGATTTAGATTGTTCACTTGTTTTGCTTGTTGAAATTTCATTTTGACATTTTCTGACCAGCTCTAATTCCTGTATACTTATGGAAGAAGGAACTCTCTGGGAACACGAAAACTCTTGGAGGCAGAATTAGAGGTGGGACTTAAACCAGTGAATGTTGGGGTTTTGACTTCAGCTCAGAGAGTGAGCTCTAGGTGAAAGGGACCTTGAGATTGGTGTGTCTCAACTCCTGTAGGACTTGGATGTCTGCTGACTCGTTGCTGGAAGGTCCAAGTTAATATAGACATAAGCATCTATCTGTAAGTGTTGAAGAATTTAAGACCGTTTCTCTTCTGAATCTGGATAGCCACTAAGATTAAATCTTCATATTTTCTTGATCTGTTCTTTATTATTATTATTTATTTATTAATGTTTGTGAATACTGGTCTGAATGAATTTTAGATGTTGTTACTCATCAGCTAAAGTCACTGGTTGTGGGTCTAAAAGGCCTAGTCTACTAGCGTCTGATGCTGCTGACACTTTAAAAGAACATAAAAAGGAATTGATAAAATACTCTGCCCTGAGGAGACAACCCAGTGGGTGTTGATCACAGCATATTGCTAATTAAACAAACAAAAACAACTTCCAGTTTCACCTGTGAAGAGCTTTTCAGGAAATCAAAGATTAACTGAAGCTTTTCATGGAATAATAAATAAAAAACAGAGTGGGTTGTTTAAAACTAATAAAGGATTCACGTTGGGTTAAAAAACATGGCCCAATCTGGTGTAAATTCCCATGTGGTATAAATCTTCATATTTCAGTTGACATCAGTGGAGCTACACCAAGTGAAAATCTGGCCCCATCTATTTTTAATAAATCAAATAATATATCTAGCGCTTTCATCTGTAGATTTCAGTCTTGCTTATATTATAAAATACATTACATTATTAAAATTGAGAATTTTAAAAAAATGTAATTTACTTGTGCTGTTAAGTTCTGTCCCTCTTGTGTAGTGGAAACAGACAAATAATCTTTTACTTTCAGGTTCTCATCTACTAGGCTAACATTTGCATTGCAAACAAAAATGTTTGTGTTTATGAATTTTTTTTTCTTTTACAAACTCATTGTAATTTTTTTAATTTCATGAAAACCTTTATTTGGGTCAACACTTTTTTTTTTTTTTTTTGTCTGTCATGCAAAGCACTTTTTTTTTTTCTCTTTAAACCTAAGTTTTGTGCCAACCTGACTGTGGGTATGTAAACACTTCCCTGAGCTGTTCATAATTCAAACATTGCTCTCTTGGGCTAGTGCATTGAGAACCTCAATGTGAAATTGACTAGCCAGTTTACTTTAAGTTTCTAGCCTATTTTTCTTGTCTATACTAAGCAAAATGGGGGGAAAACAGATAGTGAAATGTAAACTAGGCTACTTTAAAATAGAGAGAATTTTTAAAATTTTATTAATGGTAATTTAGTAAAAAAAAATTCTTGTTTTGTTTTTGAAGATATGATTAACCTGGTCGTATCTGTTTTTTAAATAATCATATTTTAGAGTACAAATGTGTGCTAGCTTTTAAAATCTGTTCAGGAATTTTCCTGTCTCTTCAATATGATTGGGAATCACATCATGGTAAATTGGTGAAAATTGGAGCTATGTAATTTCACTCTTTGAAAAGTGAGGGGGGAAATTATGTGATCCATGAGGACAACATGCTATACTGTGAGGGTACTGTTGTAAATAAAGAGAGATTCTGACCTTAACTTCTGCAGCAGTGCCTATTTTAATTGTCTGCAGTACCACTGCAAACTGCAGTCTTGAATACAGTAGAAGGCATATATTCCATCCCAATACTTGCTTTTGGAGGAGGAATTAGTAAAATGCAACTACAGTATTTATTTTTGAGTTTGTGAGGTGCTTACATGATTCTGGTTTCTGCATTGTAGTTTAAACAAAGACATATGAAAACAAGATCTTTATAATATTCCAGCTTTATTTCTTGCATAATATACTGGTATACAATAGAAGATTATGATACAGCTATACCTCTGGACTAGTTTCATTCCTTTCTCCTCCTCCCTCACTCCTCCAAGCAGGGATGATTTCAATATGGATGATTGCCTAAAGATTGAAAGGAACACAGAAAATAAGAGAGTTTTGAACATAGCATTCTTCTGACTGATAATTTTACATTTGAAATTGTTCTGAAGCACATTTAAATGAAGACTAAAAATGGCTATCACAGCTGGGTGATCATGAAAGAACATCTGCTGTATTGCTGTTCAGACACATGTTCTGAATATCTACTTCACTTGCTGTATTTATTTTCTCTGACAATGGGCTGATGGAGATATTTGGAAGTATAGAAGATTGAGAGCACTGAAATGGTAACTCCCAGAGTGTTTGAAATGTGAGCTGCAGTTCTGTCACTGGATCTGGTGGTATCAGGGAGAGAGCTAG